GAGAAGGGTTGTGCGGGGGGTATCAGGAGGCGAGGCGAGTGTCTATGCCGAGCTCATGGCGAGCTTGCCGCCAGAGAGGCCGCCGCTGCCCGACGAGCGGCGCGAGCCGGGGCGGGTGCCGCCGGGCGAGGCGGGCTGCGAGGTGCCGGCGGGGCCGAGCTTGCCCATCTTCATGCCCTCGTCGAGCGAGTTCATGACGTCCATGTCGTCGTTGTCGAGCTCAAAGTCAAAGATCTGGGCGTTGGCCTCGATGCGGTGCTTGGTAAGGCTCTTGGGCAGGATAATGTTGCCGAGCTGCAGGCCCCAGCGGAGCAGGATCTGGGCGGGCGTCTTGCCGTGCTTCTGGGCAATGGCCTTGATCTCGGGGCGGTCGAGGGCGGCGCCCTGGGCCATGGGCGAGTAGGCCTGGATGTGGATGCCGCGGGCGATGCTGGCCTCGCGCAGCTCCTCGTTGGCAAAGAAGGGGTGCGACTCAATCTGGTTGACGGCCGGCTTGATGCGGCAGTTGGCGAGCAGGTGGTCGAGCTCCTCGACGTCAAAGTTGGAGACACCAATCGTCTTGATCTTGCCGGCGTCGACGGCGGCCTCGAGGGCGCGCCACGCCTTGAGGCGGGTGTCGGGGCCCATGGTGCCGGGCGAGTGGATGAGGTACATGTCCATGTACTCGACGTCGAGCTTCTTGAGCGAGTCGGCGATGGCGTCCTCGGCCTTGTCGTGGTCGGCGTCCCAGAGCTTCGAGGTGATGAAGATGTCGGAGCGGGGGACGTTGTTGGCCTGGGTCCACTCCTTGAGCGCGCGGCCGACGGCCTCCTCGTTCATGTAGCGGGCGGCTGCGGGTTGGTGGGGGGGTGGGCAAGGGGGAGCGTGTGGTGTACGTGGTCAGCCGACGTGGTTCCATCGAGCAAGGGGAAAGGCCGGGTTGAATGCGGCCTAGCCAGTGTGCCGCCGTCTCCGCTCGCAAAGACCAGGAGCAAGCACATGTGCTGGTGCCGGTCACGCCGGCAAAGCATACAGCAGGCATGGGCACCACGATCCGCGTCCAACTCACCAGAGTCAATGTGGCGGTAGCCGGCGTCAAAGGCCCACTTGCAGGCCTGCTCGGTGGAGCCGTCGTTGGGGGCCTTGTAGACGCCGAGGGCAATCTGGGGGATCTCGACGCCGTTGTTGAGCTTGACGGTCTGGGTCGAGACGTTTCCGCCCTTGACACCAGAAGCAGCGACGGGAGCGACCATTGTGACGGGTTGGGGTTCTATGAGGGTGGTGGTGGGGTGTTTGGGTGTGTGTGTGTGGGTTGGATCTAGCCGGGTGGTGAGCGTGGCGGGATGGGACGTCTAAAAGTGCAGAGACGGCGAGGAAATGGAAAAGAAGGGATGGGTGATGGAGGGAGGAAGGCAGGCGAGCCGGGAAGACGGCGGCGGCGAGGTTTAAGTAGCGCCGCGTGCTGGGCCTGGCAGGCGGCGGTCAGAGTGGTGCCGAGCGGGCGGCGGCGAGCTGGCCAGCAGGCGGGTCAGGCTGGGGATCGATGGCAGTGGAAGAGGGCCCGCCCAGGGAACGCAGGCAGGGTCAAGCAACAGGGACCGGGCCCTGGGTCGCTCGCTTGGTGCCGCTCCCTCTGGCTGGGCCAATTTGGCCCTGGCTGCAGGCCAGGAGGAAGGGGGGTACGGTGCTGGGGCAGCCAGAAAGACGGCCGATGACGATGGACTGTGCATGAGGGCGCGAAGAACGCGCGACAGCTGGCCTGGCCAACCTGCACCGCACTCAACGAGCCCTGCAGGACTGCCTCGCTCTGCCTCGCTCGCCCGTCCCGATCAATCGAGCCCGGCGCCATCGCCCGCCGCACCTGTGGCCCTGCTCCGTGCTTACGCTGCCCTCTGCTGGCCCTCGCTAGCCTCGACGCTACAGAGCAGTACCCTGCCTGGCCCTAGCCATCGCAGATCCACGCAGATCCAAACTGCTGCCCAGACCGAGATCAGATGGCCTAGCCTGGATGCATGGCTGGAAAGCAAAGGCAGGTAGACAAAGGCAAGGTCCCGCAGAAGCCCTCTTCCAGGGTACGTTAGGGCTGGCTTGCTCCTCGATCTCGTCGAACTTCGCCGGCCGATGCAGCATGGTGCAGCAGCCTGCACCGTGGCGTATGTAGACCGAAGGAGCGGTCGGAACCAGGCAGCCAGGCGGGCAAGTGCCTAGGGACAGAGCCAGCCGTCCAACGCCGCCGGCCCACCACCATGGCGGATCGTACCTATCGTCTCGACGGCCTGCTGGGCGGTTCCAACACGGGCCAGCTCAGATCAGGGTCGTGCCCGGGTCAACGGCGACGGGCGGAAGACAGGCGGGCAGGCAGGGGAGCAAGCAAGAAAACTTCTTGGCAGCCAGGACAAGCAAGCCCAACCGCTGGTCTTCTGGCTCGCCTGGCTGGCTGGCTGGCAGGCTGGCTGGCGAGCCGCAACCTGACGCATCGACAGCAGCGGATGAACGGATGGGTGCCCGGGCGAGCGGGCGGGCGGGTTGAACGAGGGCCCACCCGTCCGTTCCGCGTCCCGTCGATTTGAAACCAGCGCATCCTCGTCCTGGCAGGCATACGGGCAGGCAGGGAGGCAGGCAGGCAGGGTAGGCCAGCAGCGGAGCGGCTTTGCACACGATCAAACTCGACGATCACCCGCCCGCTCCGCCCCGCCTGGCCAGGCCGAGCACAGAGAGAGCAGCGTCGCGTCGATGGGCGGCTGTCGGTCCATCCGGTGCGGGTGCGGGTGCGGGTGCGTGTGCGTGTGCGGGCGGGGACAGACAGGCCCGGGTACGGCAGGCAGGCTGGCGTAATCGGGCATTCAGGGTGCGTCTGTCAAGGCAGCGCAGGCAGCGCAGGAGGAGCAGGCAGAGCAGGCAGGTCCCCAAGGTGCGGTTCCGACTCCGACCTTCCCCAGCCAGCTGCAGGCAAAGCTTTGCCTGCTTGCCAGACGAGCCAGCGGGCGAGCGAGCGAGCGACGGCCATTTCTTTTTTTCTTTCACGTCGGGGTCGCTCTGACGCCGCAGCAGGAAGGAACATCGATGCCTGCCTGCCTGCCTGGCTGTCTTTGCTGCAGGCGTCGAGATGCGCGCCAGCGACAACCAACACCAGCCTAAGCTTCTTGCTTGTCTTTTCGAGATCGATAGCAGGCCAGCCCCATCCAACCCACCAAGCGCACGACAGCATACGCAGACGCAAGCGCAAGCAGGCAGGCAGGCAGGCGTAATTGCACGAGACGCACGCACGCGCGCAAACGGGGTCCCGTCGCTTGCCTCGGCCTGCCTGCCTGGTGTCGCCAGCATGCGTGCGTGCTGTGCGGTGCGGTACGGTGCGGTTCAACGACCGTCACATGGCGGCAGGGCAGGGCAGGCGTGGGTGCGTGTGTGCGTGCGTGCGTGCGTGCTGGTGATCGCCCACCGACGGGTACGGTCCGGCTTCGGTCAGAGGCGTACGTGTCAGTCGGTCGACGTCATCCAGCGCAGCGGGCGAGCGCAATAAGGGCGAGAGAGTTGACCCGGCCTGGGCGGTTTCGCAGCTGTCCGAAGAAGAGGAAGCATGTATGCATGGTCCTGCCCGCGGCGCGGCGTGGTGCGGTGCGGTATCGACGTGGAAACGATTCGACGGGCCAATCTAGACGAGATCAGACCACGGTACGGTACCGACGGTGTACGTTCAAGGTTGCGCAAATGCAAGCAAGCAAGCATGGCGGGCGAGGGGGGCGTCGGGGATTTCGAGGGACAGGCGGCCGGCCACCGGCTGTCGGTATCGATTTCAGAGGATCCGTCTGACGTCATCCCCTGCCGTGGTTGCAGCGACGACCCACCCGATCTCTACCGATCACATGCTGTCTCCTCTTCGTTCCGACTCGATCCCGATCCGGATCCGCTCCAACGCCGAACCAGCGAGGCCAGGCCTGGCCTCGACACACGCCAACGACAGCATCCCAGGCAGGGGGTCACAAATACATGGATCTCTTTTCCCGCCCTTGCAACCTTGATATCAGGTGATGGCCGGGGGTGGCGGTGGTGGTAGTACAACAGGGTTAGGCAAGAGTCTCTTCTGCGAGTGAAAAGGTGCAATCCAATCGAGTCGAGGGGATTGAGCGGAAGGCCGGGCGGATGCAGACAAGGCGCGAGGGACGCGTCTACCCTGCACCACCCCCTTCCTCCCCCTCTTCGTCGTCATCATCGTCATCATCATCGTCGTCGTCGTCGTCGTCGCCACCGGCGTTGGCAGTGAGGCTGGCGACGAGGGCCTCGAGCTGGGCTTGGATATCGCCCTCGTCGTCGCCGCCCGCCGTCGCCGCCGCTGCTGGTAGGTCCGCTTCTCTGGTGCTCGATGCTGCAGCTGAGGAGGCGGCGGCGTCTGGCCTCTCCTGCTCGCTGCTCGTCGAAGGTCGCTCGGCTTCGGTCGCGGGGGCAGAAGGTCGTCCCGCCGCTTGCGACGACGACGACGGAGGGCCGAGATCGACGTCCATCGCGGCAGTCATGGTGACGTCGCCGTCCTCGCCGTCTCGCTGCGTCTCCAGCGGCTGACGCCCGTCGACGCCGCCGCCGGCCCAGGCATCGCTCGACAGATCCATGGCGTCCGAGCCAGCTTCGGCCTGCGGAGCCGCAACCGGCTCCGCCGGTGCTTGCGCCTGCTGCGAGGCTTCCGACTGCAACGCCTCCTTCTGCGCCATCGACTCGCCCGAGCCCGACGGCGCGCCCAGCTCCGTAGCCGTGGCCGAGGCCGCCGTGTCTTCGCCATATGTGCCCTGCAGCGACGCCGACAGCTGACTGATTATGGCAGACAGGTCCATCTCGCCCGCCGCCGCGCCATCGTCGTCGTCGTCGTCGTCGTCGTCGTCTGCTGAATCGTCGTCCTCGCCGGATCCAGCGTCGCCGTCGACGGTGACCTGCCGGGCGTCGGACGTGGCGGCTTCCATTGCCGACGTCGTCGCACCCGTGCTGCCCGCATCGCCGCCGTTGAGCTGGGCATTGAGCGACTGGAGCAGGCTCTCGAAGTCTTGACCTGCCGCCGCCGAAGCACGAGACGACATCGGCGCAGGGCGGTCACGCTCCGCCTGGTCGTCGTCGCCAGCGGCACCGTCGCCTTCGCCCTCGACCGGATCGGCCTCGGCAGCGGCAATAGCACGCTCGTCGGCCTCCTCGTCTGACTCTTCCTCGTCGTCGTCGTCGTCGTCGTCGTCGTCGTCGTCGTCGTCGTCGTCGTCGTCGTCGTCGTCGTCGTCGTCGTCGTCGTCGTCGTCATCGTGGGCTCCACCGTCGAGAGCGGCCGTGAGCGCGCGGATCGCGTCCTCGTAGTCGGCCAGGTTGATGCCCTCGACCTCGGCCTCGGCGGCGTCTGCGACCGGCTTGTCCGCACTCGGCTGAGCCTCGGTCGTCGGCTCCGGCGCGGCAGGGGCCTTGCCCTTGTCCTGCAATGTCGCAGTGACGGCGACGGGCGCCACATCGGCAGGCGCAGGCGCGGACGGCGTCTCGATGGACGACGGGGTGGCTGGGGCCGATGCCACAGCAGGAGCTGCAGGAGTGGCTTCGCCGAGCGTCGCCGCAGGAGCCAGGGCCTGGGCCAGCTCTGCGGCCGCCAAATCGCCGCTGTTGACCTGCTGCAGCGCGGCTGCGAGCGTTTCGGACACGGCGCTGTCCAGATCGCCCTGGGGTCGATCGGACGCGATGGCAGAGGACAGCGAAGATGCAAGATCGCTGGCCGACAC